GCGTAGGCTATTTCTGGCTGGTAAGCTTGCAGGAATGTGAAAGAGAGAGGGCAGAAATGAAACAGCCCTCTTCAGAGCAACTTCAGAGAGAGGGATCAGTCTGCTCCCTCTCCCTCCCCCGACTCTTTTTGTACTTGGTAAATTGCCTTCACCTTTGGAGGGAGGAGGACAGATCGCCAGATAAACCTCGGGGGAGGAGAGGGGAGCGGGGAAGGGACCGGGAGGGGGCCTCGCCGCCTACCCGGCCCGCTCGCCCTTCCCCGCCGGCAGCGGCGGGCCGACGCTGCCGTAGCCCCCGCCGCCGCCGCGGGCAGCCGCCGCGGAACCCCGGCGCCGGGCCGCCGCCCGCCCCTCCGCCCCAGCCGCGCTCGGCCGGCCGCGGGACGGCGGCCCCGCTCGCCGCTGCCGTCGCACCTCCGCCAGACGCAGACCCGGCTGCCGCCGAGGGGCGTCCCGCCCGCTACCTGCAGCCGCAGGACTCCACCACCATGTCCTCGTACTGCTTGTACACCACGTTGTTGCCCGCGTCGATGTAGAGGATGCTGATGGGGGTCAGTTTGGTGGGGACGCAGCAGCTGGGCGGCGTGGAGCCGGGGTCCATGGAGTTCATAAGGGTCTGGATGATGGCATGGTTTGTGGGCTCCAGGTGGGAGCGCAGCGGGAAGTCGCAGACGCCCTCGCAGTGGTGGGCTTCGTATTCCAGCGGGGCGATGATCCAGTCGTCCCAGCCCAGCTCCTTGAAGTTGACGTGCAGCGGCTTCTTGCTGCAGCGCAGCCGGGACTTCTTGCCGTGCCGCTTGGCGAAGGCGGTGCGGCGCTGGCGCCGGGCCGGCGGGCGGCGGGCAGCGGGCGGCGGGGGTGCGCCCAGCTCGGCGCGCAGCTCCCCGAGGAGGCTCCGCCGCCGGGCGCGGGTGAAGACCACCAGCAGCGCCCGCTCCTGCGGCGGCCGCGGCCGGCGCGCGAAGCCCAGGCCCCGCAGGTCCAGCCAGCGCCGCGGCCCGCGGTCCGCCGAGGCCCGCAGCTCCAGGCACAGCCGCTTCCAGGGCCGCTGCTCCCGCAGGCCCTGCCGCACGTCGAACACCTCCCAGCCGGCGGACGAGGCCGCCCGCGGGTCCAGGGCGCGGGAGTCCAGCGGTCGCGGCGAGAGGCAGGCGGAGAGCTGCACGTGCAGCGGGGCGGCGGGCGGCGGGCGGCCCCGGGGGGCCCGGCGGAACAGGCGCAGCTCGGCCCCCACGAGCTCCTCCGTCTCCGAGAGGGTCGACACATCAAACACATACTGCTGCCGCCTCAAGGGAGCGGGCGAGAGATCGTCTGCGAGATAAAAATAATTACAGTCAGTTGCGCTCGGGGGGATCTGCCGAGAGGTCTCTGAGGCGGGAGAGGGAGGGAGCGCCGCCGGCTTGCCCGGCCGGGGCCGCTTTTGCCTGCCTCGCCCCCCACCCCCAGCCGGACCGGGACCGGGGGAGGGTAGGGAGAGGAGAAGGAAGCAGAAGGAGAAGGGAAGAATATGGAAAGGAAAAGGAAGAATATGGAAAGGAAAGGAAGTATGGAAGAACCCGCACCAGACAGAAGACAGCTCTCCAGGACTACAGGCAGACCCTGCTCCACGCACATCCTCTGCCTATCAGCCCCATATACACGTATCTGTTCGTTCTCCTCTAAGGAAGACCTGGACTTCTTTTTTGACACATCGGTGTACAAAGTGCAGCACAAAAAGCAAACCAGATTCCCCTGAGCTGCTTTCCAATAAAATGTTTACAACCCAGCAAATACAAAAATTCCCAAAGCCCCTGTGTTTTCCCAGAAGCTAGTAAAGCTTGTGTAGATTTCTATAGTAAAAGTGTCACTGGAGCCTCTGTTCAGCAGCCCCTCTCCGTTTTTCCAAAATCAGCCCACACCAGGGGTAGAAACAGACTAAAGAAATACACACCCGCCTGTTATTTATCGATATCAAAGGTCATTACGATTCCTAATCAGTATGTTCCAAAACCTCGGCTCTACCTGACAGGTCTCTGGGAACCCCCTGCGGGGCAGGAGAGACAAGCGGATGATTTATGCAAACCAAAACCTTCAAACGCGCTACGGCGATGTAAAAAATCAATGCGGATTAACGTGCAGTTAATCAGTGCGGATTAGCACACTCGACAGCCGCTCTGCGCCGCTGCGTGTTCCCCTAGACGTCAGCAGGGAGATGGAGCGTGGAGTGCAGCAGGGACAGCGGGAATTGCTGGGAAAAAGACCTGCCCCGAAGGGAGCCGCCGTGGGAGGCCCCGCGCCCGCCCGGACCGTGCCGCGCACCCACGCATGGGCATCTCCGGCTGCGGGGCTGGGCGCCCGCCGGGCCCCGCACACCTGCCCGGCTCCCGCAGCCAGGCGGCCGCGGCACAGCCGCGGTCCCCGCCTCGCCCGGCGTGGCACTGGGAGTCAGCAAGGAGAGGCAGTTCCCGAGCCGGAGCTTCCCCGCCTTTCAGGCAATCCCGGAAAATCTGAACCCCGGCCTTTCGCATCCCTGTCTCCGCCTCCGACTTCAGGCTTGTCTGTTTCCTCGCGGTGGGGCTTCTCCTTCCCAGCGAGGGCTGAGAGGCAGCCTGGTCGTGCATCCCGCTCAGGGAGTGCGGGAGGAGACTGAAAAAAACTACGAGCAGAGCCCGAAAAATGTCGTCACAGTCCAGGTGACGACAACAGCTGCTTTATCGAGCTGTGAAAATAAAAGTGAAACCCATCGGGAGCTGCCTAGAGGTGCTGGACAGTTTCATCAGCACTGCAAATACAGACCAGGATTCGGTCCATGAGTCTCCTGTGGGTTTTGGGGGCGCCTGGGGGTAGTTCTACCCTTCCTTCACAGACGCAGGTCATGGGCTGAGGTGCACGTGGTTGCAGGAGGAGGGTCCAACAGCTCAGGAGATCTCTGGTATCATTGTCTCCTCCTTCAACGGGATCCTGGAAGCTTCAGAGAAAAGCGGATAAGCCCTCGGGTAAGAAAAAACGCACAGGTCCTCCTCCTCCTTCTCCTCTTTCTTGTCGTCTTGGAGGTTTTTTCCTGCATCCAACATCTGTCAGATACCTGGGCATCCGACAGGGCGTAGACCGATCTCCTGGCCTGCCGAGATGCCTCAGACCTTCGTTCAAGGGCTCCAGCGACCGTCGAGGAAACTAGATCAGCATCTTCCTCTGCGGCTATTCCCAGCTTCGGGATGTAGACAGAGCCGGGCCTGAGCACTGATTCGCTTTTAATCGCTCTCGTTGCTTAGGGGATGGAGAGGCGGGTGTCACGCTTCGTTCCAGAGAGAGATGCTCACTCTCTTTGATACTCCCAGTCGCCACGGGGTGGGGGGTGAGAAGAGTGCTGCCTCCCGGCCGCTGTCCCTCCGGAGCAGATGCCCCCTCACACACACTCCTCCTTATCTTATTCTTGGCCAGGGCCATGGTCCTGGGGCCCCCCTTACCTCTATCGGGGTGCAAGAGCAAGGCAGCACTGCCCGGCAGTCTCAGCTTTCAGGGAAAGGGCAGCCCTTCCCCAAGGGACGAGGGGACACGAAGGTAGCAGCGCCTCTCCCCTTCCCGAGGAACCATCACGCAGGTGACCTGGCGCGGAGCAGGAAATAATCCCATTCGGGGGTAACATCCAGGCATGAAGCTTAGACGGAAGGGAAGCAGCGAGAGGCTGAATCTCCCACATGTCCCCGCTGCTGAAAATGGGTTTTAAAGGGGCTGCAGACCCTTGTCACCCGGCGGTGTTGAAGGAAACCAGCTCCGGCACTGTGGGTGCCAAAAGGCTTGCTCAGGGATGCTCCCCGAGCAGCATCTTTTGAGACTACAGTTTGGCGAGGGTTTGGGGTGTTGTACGGCTGATCCGGGTTGCATGGCACGCTGGTGACACAGCCGATTTGCAGAGAAATGTGCCCCCAGTCAAGCTAATCTCTGAGACGGGCTTCAGCAGCACCGAAAAAGTGTGCTGAAAAAGTCCCACTGGCTCAGGCAGCTGCCGGCTCCCGTGCTTCTCTCGGGAGGGCAGGGAAAGGGGCAGGGCTGCCGGTTGTTTCAAATAAGCAGCTTTGAATCCGATCAGATAAACGCTATTTATTCACTCTTGTAACCTAATAATTCCAGATGAATACATAATCCTAAACCAGTACTGGCTCGCTCCCAGCGCAGTCGAGAGGGTGGGAAAAGCAGCAGAGGGTGGGGAGGGAAAGCAGGACCTCCAGAACCTCCACAAAACGGGGAGACACGGGTCTAGGTTGGGGACCCTTTGTTCCAGCGAAGCTGCTGCCTTCCTAGCACACAAAGAGCGGCAGCAGAGCGGCGTGGGGACACCCTGACTGTCCCTCTCTCTTCCTGTGAGCAGTGCACCGCGGATAGGGGCTTGTCCTCTTCAGTTTTCCTTTAAACCCAATGAGCGGTGAAACCCGGGGTTTCTAACAGCCAGCTCGAGATCTGCCTTTTTCTCAGGCCAGCTGAAGTTGTTCTTACAGATATTCCCGTTTCCGAAATACTTGGTGCGAACAGCAAAGTCATCCCAGCTGGGCTGGGGAAAGCCACATTGCAGAAAATACACTGGAAAGGTGTGTTTATATTTGTAGCGTTAATGTAGATGAATGTTGGGTCCGCAGTAAGTATTTGTTCTGTTTCGACTCTCCGTAGTTTATTCTTTTATTTCGGGCGAAAATAAAATATTAGGAGCGGGAAGGAGGGACAGAAGGAAGGACAGAAGGAGGGAGTAGGTGTATCTGAAATTTAAGAATGTGTCAGTGGCGGATGGAAGAGAGCAGTCCTACTCCGTTCTGCCGTGTGCGCACGCCGTTCAGCGGCGTGCCCGGTGCTCCCGCGGAAGGACCGGGCAGGGCAGGGCCGGGCCGGGCCGGGGGCGCCGCGCCGGGCCCCCGCCCGCCTTCCCCCACGCTATCCTTCGCGGTGCGGTGGCTGCGGTTTCAGCATCTCCAAAGCTAAATGAATCGGCTGGGACTCTTCCCTCAATTCCCTGTGTGAAGCCTCTCCTGTTTCCCGGGTCGCTTTCTCGCCGCAGTCTGGGCTTTGAGGAGAGACGGGGGTTAACGAAGGCTACACAAAGTTTCCCTTTTCATGGCAGATCAGGTACTGGGCTCCCAGCCAATTCATCAGGGCTCAGATCTTAACTTTACATCACTGCAAATTATACCCAAACCACATTCAAGAAGAATTTTCCCATTCCCAAATTCTCTTTCAAGCCATATTTAAATTCGCAAACCAAAAGCACATTTTCAGTTTAAAGACACTTTGCAGACACTCGCACAACAATAATCTGGAAATTAAAACATACATTGTCCCTAATTGCGAAGGTCTGTCCACACGTTGTCTGCGGAGTCGCAAGGCTGACAGGTATTTCTTTCGGAGCATTACCCAAGCTGTGGAAACAAGGGGCTGACTCTCCATGTGTGGTATTTCCCGGGTTTCAATTCCACATCTCCCAGCGCCTGCCTAGCCGCGGTTTTTTATTACACCCAGTGATTAGATTTAAATGTATCGTTAGCTTCATTATCGGGTAACCGAGAAAGACCACACCTTCCTCGGAACAATTCCCAATCCTGCCAAAAAAACACTAACTGGTTGTTGGAGGGCTGGTTTGGGGTTTTTGTTTGTTTGTTTGTTTGTTTGTGGGGTTTTGTTTGTTTGGGTTTTTTTTTTATTTTTGTTTTTCTCCTCAGAGTGGGGAGGTACCTGGCTGTGATGCACCTTTGATCACCGCTGTACCGTACCTGCTCCGGGAAGGCTGCCTGCCCTTGCCCCACTCTCCCTCTCGCCACCACCTCCCCGCTTTCCACGGGCCACTCTCGGCCCTCGGGCACAGAGGGATCGCTGCAACACCCGCGGGACGTCCCACAAGGATCCGGGCGCTCGGCTGTCGGCATCGTCCCAGGAGATGCGCCGAGGCGGACAGGAGCTTCCTTGTGGGGTTTCTACCTGCTGTAACAGACCTTAACACAGTATCTTTCCCTTTCCCCATTTGCGGCGGTTACGCTACCCGAAACACTTCGATGGAGGAGAAATAATTCCTCCGAAATTATTCGTGTTGAGAAAATCGGTTTGAATATTCTCAGCACTTGGAGCTAAGAAATTAAGCGAAGATATTTCTGAGTGGTAAATGTGGAAGCGCTAAGATACAGCAAGACAGCATACAGATCTCGCCATAACTAGCAAAGACTGAAACACCCCCTTTCGCTCATAAATCAGACTTCAGGCACGAGAGGACTCCAACCCTCAGTTTCAGCCTGCCCCGAAATCGCAAGGAAAGGAGGGTTTTCTCCGACCGACCGTTTTTGGGGTTTTTTTCTGCCATGAAGGGAGGAGGTAAATGAGGAGGGCGAGGCGCCCCGCGGCCGTGCCCAGCACAGAGTGGCCCTGGCCTGCGCCGGATTTTCTCCCCGCGGGCCACTCGGCTGCCGGTTGGGGCCAGCCCAACTGCGGCACAGCATCTCCCCGCGGGCGGCGGAAACTCCACAGCTCCGAGGCGGAGACCTCGGACCTCCGTTCCCCACGTGTCCCCCACCTCCAAAAACAAAACAAAACAAAACAAAACAAAACAAAACAAAACAATGTAGCCTCTTAGCAAGCCCCGCAGGAGGGTCTCTGGATTTAAAAAATAATAGTAATAACGAAAAAAATCAGGACCAGGTCCGAAATGAGCCACTGGAATAATTTGATAGGCGTTAATTACTCGCCCTGTTAGCAAAGCGGCTCCGCGGCAGCGCACCGCCCCGCCGAGCTGCCGGATCTACGGAGGTCCCGGAGCCGCTTCCCCGGACCGCCCTCCCGTCCCGCGGAGCTGCATGCGCGAGCCCCCACGCCTTCTCCAGGGACAACAAACAAACGAGAGATAAACCAAAAAATACTCCCCCCGCCGACAGCCCCCATTTTCGCTGGGGAGCGGCGAGAGGTGCAGCTGCAGCCGCCGAGGGGACGCTGCGCTCCTCTCCGCCTGCGCCCCCACCCCGCGCTCCGCTCTCTCCCGCAGCTCCCGCGGGGCGGGGGGCGAAACACCAACCCCGAAACACTTCCCGGCACAGGCAGCGCGGAGCCGCCGCCCGCTCCCCGCCCGCCCCCCGCCACCGGCTCCGGGGCCGCGGAGGCCCCGCCGGGCCGGGCCGGGCCGGGCCGGGCCGCTCGCTCCTTTCCCGGGTGCACGGCGGGGATGAGGAGCGGCAGCTCGCTGCCGCGCTCCGGCCGTCTGGTCTGCATTAGTGTTTTTATAAGGGGCTCAAACAAATCGAATACAAGGTCACCAAATAATTAACAGTTGTGAATTCCCTCCTCTCCTATTAAAATACTTCCCCGTTTATATTTCATTTTCCTTCTGCCAACGACAACACTGCTTGGGCAAAGGCGCTGCACAGATTACACTACATTGCAGCTTTCGGTCCACCCAGAAACCCGCTGTTTTGCATAAATATGTTGTACTAGATTAACTTCAAGTGAGATTTACACTCTTTTCCTCTGCCGCATGTACAGCCGGGCCATTTTCTGTTTCTGTACACGAGATCCCCCTTTCGTCCTAGCCGTCTATTCGCCACCCTCATGTCAAGAGCAAAATAACGATGTTCGGATCCCTGCCCATCGGAATCAGCTGCCTTCCAACTGGAACGCGAAACTGCATTAACAAAACGCGGAGGGAAAAAGGAGACGATCTTGACCTATTTCGATTTCCCCGTCCCTTAGGCGCGGATCGCGGCATTTCGTATGCGGGAGCCCTGCCTTGGTGCCGGTGCTGCGGGCAGCTCTTCAGACACAAAAGGGGCACTCGCCGCAGCCGGCCCTCGTGGCAATCCCTTCCCACGGAGATCCTTTCGAAAATCGTGCTCCCTCGCACTCCAGCTATTTCTTTTTTGTTTTCGATTTGTTCCCAGTCATGCCGCGTTTCTTGCTAGCTGTGGGATCGCTTGTTTATAACTCCCTTCTCCAGCTCCCTCCCGCTCTCTTTTTTTCTTCTTTCTTTCTTTTTTTTTTTTTTTTTTTTTTTTTTTTTTTTCTTTTTTCTTTTTCTTTCTTTTTCTTTTTCTTTTTTTTTTTCTTTTTTTTTTTTTTTTTTTTTTTTTTTTTCCCTTCCCCTGCCTGGTGGAGTCCTTGCAGCTCCTAATTGTCCTGCCTTACTGTGGAGCTCCAATGCTGGGGGTCCTGAGGCCAGTGAGAGCACCATCTGCGTTTTAATGAGTTACTTCATGTGCCAACAGTAATTTTGCTACATTCAGCTAGGTCCTGTCTGATCTTGCGACCGTAACAAGGGGGAGCGAGTGGGGGGCGGGAGGGGGTGGAGAACGGGGAATCACAAACCCTTTCCCCCCCTTTCTCCTCTCTTTTTCTACCGACGGGGGGAAAATTATATATGTATTAATCAGTAGTGAGTCTTCACTCCCTCTCGCGCTACCCTGAAAACGATCTTATTAGCGTCAAGCGAGAAGGGAATAAGCGAAGCAAAGGGAAGCGGCTGTCGCTGGCTGCACCGAAGCGCTCTGCTCCGCAGCCTCGGAAGGCGGTGGGACGGGCGGGCCCGGGACCGCTGCGGCCGGGAGCTGCTGCCGGTCGGAGCCGAGTGCCGAGCCCCGCCGGACGCTCTTCGCGGACACGCAGGCACACAGCCCGCCTCGTACGGGAAGGGGATTTCTCGGCAAGACTAAAAGTTGCTTCGCGGTCCTCTGCGGGCTGCTGTCCCCCCGACATGCTGCCATGAAGGATAGCGTGCGGCAGGTGGGACGGCCGCCTCATATCTCCCCCAGAGCTGTTGCTTAGGTAAAGAGCAGCCCATCTAATTGGGTCAATTTGGGCGGCTATACTGTCTGCAAATGAAGTGACAGAAAATCTGCCCCCCCCCCCCTTCCCCGCTTTCCCTAAGCAAAGACTGTTCATCATCAGCACAACTCCAGCCCGCCAATTAACTGGGCTAGGAGCCCACAGGGAGGTGGGCAGTAAAATAGCTACCACTTCAGAGGAACGGAAGCTCTCTTGAAGTTTTTTGGTGATGTGCCATCGGCTGGTCCACTTCATTATGGGAGACTAGACAATATTTGATATGTTATGACATGAACACTCAATTAGATCACTGAGTTGAAATACTCCAATCAGTGGCTTGATGCTAAGCAACCCTCAGAAGGTCCAGCAGAAGGTCACAGCCTGTGACACATCAAATCAAAATCAATGGGGAAAAGTGAGGCTTTTCCTTAATCAAACCAGGACTTCTGTTAGCAAATCACTTCCCTCGGAGTAGAATCTCACATACAGCGAGATGAGCTAAATTTGTTAAATTAACTGTCTTTCTTCTGGTTATCAAGAATAAGATGATATCGACCGCGACTCCATTTCTTGCGGCTCGCAGAATTAGCACCCCGTTTCCCCTCCGTCAGGGGGAGCGGTCCAGGCTCCTTTCTGACGGCTGAATTTTCGAAACCGTGTTTCTAGAAAAGAAGTCCTCTTTCCCCCAGCCCCGCTTTTAACAGCGACGAAGAAAACAACCCCCATAAGGCGAAGGCGGAGAGCAAAACCCCTTGTCCCATTTCCCCTCGAAAACGTCTGCGGGCTTCCGACCGCCAGAGGCACATACAGTGGGCGCTCCCACGCATCCTCCCGAGCCCAGAGGGGCGCGATGGGCACCGAGGCGGGAGGCGAAGAGCCCCGCCGAGCTCTCTCCGCGGAAAGAGCTCCCCCGAGCCAGGGGTAGCAATGGGGCAAGGGGCTGAGCCTTGGGTGCCGTGGGCGGGGAGAAGCTTCCGGCTCGGGGAGGCGGTAAAGGGGGTCGGTTTGGGTTCGGTTCGATTTTGTTTAGGGCGATCGGCTTCTGCAGCTCCAGGGAGCCGTGTGACTTTCCCGGCGCTGTGTTTTGCCCTAAAACGGCTGGGACACGGCGGGAGGGCAACGAGCTGCCCCGGCTCCGGTGCTGCCAGCCCCCGGCAGGTACACCAGTGCCCGAGGAAGCGCGGACGGAGGGGAGGGAGGGTCTTCAAATGTGAGAGAGAGGGAGCAATGAAAGCGCAACCTTCATTAAGAACCTGTTAATTAGTCTGTTCTTAATGGCTCACAACCAGGGTAACGAGAGGGGGGGGGGGGGGGGGGATAAAAGGGGCCGGGGGGCGTTTTTATGGAAGAGAAATTTTACTCTGGATCGACAAGAAATGTGCACCCGTGGCCCCGAGTACGAGCGATACGACGGCGAGAGAGGAGCACAGGAGGGCCCCGGCCGGGACTGCAGGTCACGGAGGGGGCCCGGGAACCCCGCGGCACCGATGCTGCCCGGGAAGCTCTGCGGCTCGATGTAGCGGGCCCCGCTGCCAATCCCGACCCGGGGGTGCATGAGGACCAATCCCGCATACAGCTCAAAGGATTCGGCCCCGGAGCAGACGTCAAGTCCGGCCGCCCCTCGCTGAGTCCCGGTACTGGGCGGCACCTGGGCTGCACGCTGACCCCCGCAAGTGGAGCCGGCCGGTCCCAGTCCCAGCGCTCTCGGAAGGGCTCGGGGCTCTTCCAGGTAACCCCGATAACGCGACCCGAGGCGAGAACAGCCTCAGGCAGAAGATGTTTGCCTTCGGTCAGTTTAAACTTTCTTTTCGCCGTGCAGCCGCGTCGATAAGAGCCACCCTTTCTCCGGTGGGTGGAAAGAAACCAGAAGAACTATATTTAATTTTTTTGGTCAAGGTTGAATGTACACCCAAATTCCGCCTGCGAAGCTGGGGTGTGTTTTCCACCACCTCATGACAATTCGGGGAGGAACACTCGTGTTTCTCGCACGCAGCACTTAGGACTGCCTCGACTCGGGTTTAGTGCCGCGGGGCCGTTTGCTTTAGAATAAAACAACACGACTCCCAATTTACCGAGGGATCTGCACTTTCCTGTAACACCGGAGTGGGGAACAGCACCGGTGGCCCCTGCACAGCGCTCCCCACCTCCCAGCACCACGCTCCGCAGCACGGCAGCCTCCTACCGTGGAGCGCAGCGGGAAGGGACACCCGCAGCCCTGGGGGGAACGTAAGGGGCGTGGGGGGCCAGAACTTACCTCGTCCCCTGTCGACAAAACTAGTGATGGTGTTGGCGGATTTGGACGACTGAAAAAAGCTGGCGTTGATGCCCAGTTTCTCCGCGATAGAGTAAGTCCTGAACAGAGACAGCATGTATTCGTGGGGTTCCGCCCGCGGGAGCGCCCGGTCCATGGCGTGTCCCCCTTGCCGCGGGCGGTTTTCCCGTGGGGACCGCGGCACTCTGCGGCTGCGACCACCTTTGGAGAAGGCTGCGAGCTCCGAGGAGGCAGGGAGGGAAGCCGGGAGGCAGCAAGGTAAATCCCAGAGGAGGCTGGCGAGCAAGGCGGCGGAGAGCAGGGCCCGGCGTGCATTCATAGCGAGAGGCGGCGGCGGTAGGGAGGAAGAGGAGGGCGGCCCGACGTGCGGCTCCGGCGGCCCACGGAGCGGCGCGGGGACTGCGCGGCGGCGCGGCGCGGAGCGGCGACTGCACCCGGGCGGGCTCGGCCCGCGGCCGCCCGCCCCGCCCCGCGGGTCCCGCCCCGCCGCGCACCGCCCCGTGGGGGCACCCAGCGCGCCCCCGCGGGGCGGTCCGCGGCGGGGCGGGACACCCTGGTCGGGGGCTCGGGGTCCCTTTGCTCCCTCCCCGCTGTGTTCTCCACGCGGGAAGCGGACGCGAGGGCCGGGGAGAGATGCCGCGCGTCTTGCTGCCACCTCTCGGGTGCCGCTTCTCATCAACCCAGCGGTGCTGTCATCTGTTCAGGTGCCTCACAGGTTCTCCAGGTTTGAGTGTGGGCAGATTCGTGTGATGCTAATGATTTTGCTTGAGGATGTCTGTATTCCCGTGGCTATGTGCCCGAAAACTTGGCACAAAGCAGGGTCTTATAACAAGGAGAATTTGGTGGCAGGTGAGGGTCTCACCTTGCATGTGCCAGGGCTCATCTAGCTAGAAACCTTGAGACAGGTCCTGACACCCATTAGAGAAGGAAGAGAAAGCATAGGAAGAGCCAGAGACCATTCTCCTTGTCTCAAAATCTGCAAATCGGCCACCAAGAGGGGACCAGCCCAAGTGGAGCACAGTGGCAGGCTGGGGCCTGGCAAAAAGCAGCTCTGGGCACTACTGGGCAATCAGCATTGTCAAGATAATCAGGGTAACCTGGGACAGGCAGGAAAGATTCCTCAAAGCAGGGCACACATTTGCCCTGTCCTGGGCATGCAAAAGACAGCAGTGGAGCAGATGTACAAGGATTCAGATATTCACCCACCACTTTTCAGAGGCTTTTCATTTGGCTTTCACTTTTCACTTTTCATTTGGCTTTTCAGAGGTGCGTCCTTCAGCATAAAACTGGTGTCAGTTCTCCAGTGGTTTCATCCAACCACCTGGCTAGGGTTCACAGCCGTGACAACGCATAACATGCTTGCATTACTGTCCTGATCACTACTTTCTTCTCCTTCACCTTCTCATCCTCCTGCCTGAACCATGACACTGCGTGGTGGTGTGTGTTTTTATAGGATTTTACACTGTTTTGTTTTTAGGGTGAGGTGTTCAATGTTAGGTAGTTTCAGTTGGTATGTTCCTTGTACCCCCTATTTCTTCCCCTCACAACAGCTTCTCCCAGGTTGTTTACCCTTAAGTGTCCCTCAAAGTGCCAATCTCCCTGTTCCTTCTCCCATACACTTAAATGATTCTGTCAATCAAGGTTGTGCACCCCTAAGTTCTCCCGCCACTTGACTGTCCCTCAAAGAGCCAATCTCCCTGTTCCTCCCCTCATACCCTTAAATGATTCTGTCAATCCAGGTTGTGCTGCCCTCCTCCCCTGTCTGTCAGTGTAGCCACCCCCATTTGGTTCTCAAAAGTTCCCTGTCTGTTGGCCCTTCCCCAGCTCCCCATTGGATTGTTAAGCCCGCTCCCTCCCCTGTGCTGCCCTCATTGGATTATCCCAGTTGGGTTCTCCCATAACACTTCCCCATTGGACGTGAGCTGTTTCCACCCCTCATATCCTCCCCTCTTTAAAATGTGCTGCCGCCCTCTTTCCTGTGTTTACTTGTCCCTGAGCCCTCCTAGGTAATAAACTACCTTGGAATTCATACAAGTGCCCCCTCTCTGTTTCTTTGCCAAGGTCCTTTGTTTCTGCTTGGGAGCTGTGCTACCCATGCCACAGCCAGCCACAGGGAACTGCCAACCCCTGTGAGCACTGCCACCCTAGAGGTCTCAGAAAGAGATCTGGGGGCAGCCATTCATATTGTGCCCTCCAGCCACAGCTCCTCTAATTCCAGTAAGAGGTCATGTGTGTATCTGTGAAATCCTGGTCCATAGTAAATAAAGGGAATATGATATCTCTGACCATGCTCCTCCATCAGCTGCAATTCTTGATGCAGTAATAAATACACTGGACTTGTGGACTTGCCTTTTTCTTCCCCGTTCTCATTTTCCACTAAGAGAGCGCAGCTCATGCCTGGGCTTTTGGCACCACTCCCACTGCAACACGGGATGAGTGGGATGAGGCAGACCCTGACAGGACATATGAAGCAGGCTTCTAGCCTGGCACATCCCAGTTTGCCTGAAGGGAGCTTAGGCCCACTGTGTTCCCTGTGTCCTGGGAAGAGATGCTAGGGACTATGAGGAACACAAGGGGAACATTCAAAGCAAGTGACAGGCTCAGGTTCCAAGTGTACCAGGCTGCATGTCTACTAGAAAAAAAGATAATTCCAAGATAGGAGCTCACACTATCCTGCAGCCCTCCATACATGGCTTAGAGAGCTCCCTGGTGTGCTTTTGCCCCATGCCAACTAGCACTTTCCAGCCAATACCCAGGCCTGTTACAAGTTATGGCTTGTGCCAGGGGCTGTCCCTAGATTGCCATTTGGATATGCCCACGTGGATGTGGGACGCATCATATAGCTGGGAGTAGAGGAAGGAGCCCGTCATTGCCTTGGCTTCTTTTTAGCACGATAGATGTACTGCAAAGTGCTGGCAGATGAACTGTGGAGAGACGGGGCTACAAAAAAGTATCAGTGACAGTGCAGAAATGAGGCAAGTGTTCTGCAAAACCAATTCCCACTTCATTCTGTCCTGTTTCTTCACCACCTTTTATTTATTGTGCTTTCACTCCTCCTGTCCACCCTCTAGTTTCACAGACACCCTCCTGACCACTACCCTCCCTTTTCATCAGCTGCTTTCTGCACTGGGAGTGTCCCCCCTCCTCCTGTCCCTTTGGCTTCTCTTTTCTGACGCCTCACTTTTGTTGCTTCTACTCTCCTTTGCCTCTCCCATCCTTTCTGTTCTGTACTTAGCATTTTGGCTATTTTTTTTTTTTTTTTTTTTTTTTTTTTTTTTGCCATGACCCAGTTCCTTCCGGAGCCTTATCATCACTTTTTTGTTTCCTTCTGCCGCTTTTGTGTCCTATTCACTTATTCCATGCTCCTGCTGGCTATCTTCAATCAGCTGCCCAGCTCCAGTTTCTCCTCCGTCAACTTCTGCCCAACCCTAGCTCCCCAGGCTCTTTCTTTTCTCTCCTGCTGCATTTCATTGTCCTGTTTTTCTTTTCTAATATTGTTCCCACTTCCCACATCCCCTCCTTGTGGTCCCAAATGCTGCTGCTGCACGGCTGCCCTTTCCCACTCTCACTCTGCTGGTTTCCAGGGTCTCCTCTGGTGCTCCCGGAGTGTCTGTTCCCTTCCTGCCTTTGTCTCTTGGTCTGTCTCTCCTCTTCCCTCTTTGTTCTCAGCTTTTTCCTTCCTTGGCCTCCTCCTCTCCCAAGGGGAGGTGGTTTCATGCTAATGCAAATCTGCAAGGTCTCAAGAGCAACTTCCATCAGCCTGATTTAATTTCTACCTGCTGCTTTTGCATGTTTTAACGCATTCTCTGAAATTGACTTGGATGGCTGCTTTGCACTGCCACTTCTTTATCAGGGGTCTGACTTGAAGCCCTCTGCAGCCAGGAGGGCCTTTCCTCTGGCTCTTGTGACCTTTCAGGCAGGGTGGAGGCTGAGGCCCTGCTGATGCAGATGCCCCCCAGTAGCACCCCAAGATTGTTACCTGTGAGAGTGCACACAGGTAACAGTAACAGCCATATATAGGCAGTGTTTGCTTTCCAGCCTTTTTCTCAAACCTTTACGTTGCTCAGGGTTGTCCCTGTGTCATTTTGGAATACAGTGCCATTGTTCAATACATCTAATTGCCAAGACAGTCACTTAAGGGAATGACAGAGCACGGAACTGTGGGGATATAACAATTGTGATGCCTCATGGAGCAACACAGTCAGGTCACTGAGAGGGACTTGAATATATTGAGCCATCTTAAGAAGCTTTGGTTTTGATTGTCCCTGAGAAAACTGTGTGGAACTGGACCTGAGAATTGCAGGCAGGAGTGGGCACTTTGTGGGGCAGCATGAGAATGAATCAGCGCCTGTGAGACACTTGGGATCCCTGCTTTAGTGCATGGAAAAGAGTGAAATAATGGCAGCAACAATAAAAAGAGTAAAATAATAGCAGCCACCAGAAAAGAAGAATAGTGTTTTAAAAACTTGTTTCCTTTCTGGTTTTCTCAACAATAAAAGTTGGCCAGATTTCAGTTTATAATTGCATTATACATATTTTGTAACATTTTTTTCAATTTCAAATATGTTTCTCAGAACTAAAGCAATTTGGAGACTGCAAAAATGCAGTTTTAAAACTAGTTTCATTAATTTGCTTGCACTAGCACACATCGCATCTTTCACATTTTTTTCTTTCTGTGAATTTGCTATTCTGGGGAAAAGTATAAATGAACGGAGAGAAATTTGAAAATCAGAAAGCAGTCCAAATAAAAGAGATTTCTTTAATGTGGAAATTTAATGGAAATTTCTCTTGCTATAACCATAACATGAGCAGCCATGTTGAGGAAGAATGACACAGGTTAAAATTCATCCCTGCAAAGTGGTCAAGCCAAGACATAAGTATCAGTCATTTCACCTTTGGTTTGTGGTCATTTGTAAGACTTACTGTGGTACATAAGGGATATGAGTACAGAGTCGATCAGTTTGTAGACATTCCCTCTTAGTATTTTTTCTTTTTTTTTTTGCGTCTAGGTTGATGCTTGTTTTAACATGAACAATCTATTGTAGGATTTTTATTTCTGTGAACCAAAATAATTTTTATTAGGATGACTAGAAAATGTACCCCCTCAAACTATGGGTTTTTCCCTGCTTAGCACAATAGGCTCCAAAAATGCTGTGGTTACACCACATAATCAGGGGGCAGGGATTCCTATCAGAACACCAGTTAGCACATTTTCCAAAATGCCCATGTAATCCGTATGTGCTGGTTTTCAGCAAAACACCAGACTTAACAAGCCTTGGCTTTGAAAATGGAAATTTTTTTCCAAAGACCCTGGTTCTGAGGCATTAAATTCTTATCCTTTTAGC